AAATTGCCCGTGTGTTTGTTGACTTATTGAAGGAGAAGGAAGCACGAAAAAGCGCCCGGAATAAGACCCTCTTTATTGCAATTGATCATGATCACCGGACGAGCGTAAGGTGGTCAAGATCAATTGTGAATTGCGAAAGGCGGCGATACACTGATAAGAGACGAGAGAGGCCAGAAAACGACGGGCGAGAGAGCGCAATGGCAGTCTCACAACGACACGGTCACTGGAGGCCGGCATGGGCCTATCGGGCGCCAATGGGCCTAAAACCTGAGCGCGCTGCGTTTTGCTTGCTGTTTTTCAACTTTTAAAAGCGGCATAGCCTCTGACGTTGCCTGCTTGACCATCGTGCACGGTTATGAGAACCTAGCCTTAGTTTATCGCGGAACGTGCCTTTAACTGCCACCCCCTTCCAGCAGTCGTATCCACTGTCTTTAGAGGGAGAGTAGCAGCGCGGATGTTGGACGTGCGGCGCCACGTTTGGCTAACGCTTGGTGACGATCGTGGTTTGTGGAAACTGTATTTATCAAAGAGTGAATATTGATGACGTCCATGTGACAGCTAGTTAGGCAGTGCTTGCAGAATTTTTTAGAAAAAATTGATTGAAAACATCTATTCAAAGCAATGGCAGCGGTGAAGTGAAATGATTCTGTAGTGCTTGGCGGCCGCCTTTTACTGCTATGGTGCTCGACGAAGAGTACGAGCTATATAATTCGTGAAAAAGGTCGGTCTCATGACAGCAATGGGAAGGGTTGGTAAAGGACAGAGTCATGTGATTGGTCATTGTTCAGCGCCGAAGAGCTGAAAGCACCGCTCAGCGGGAGTGATGATAAGTCTCCATATTCTCACCGTGGGAGTTCGTCCTCATGTATTTCGGGAAAACAACAGTCAGCCTTTCTTCGGCCATGCTGACTCTCTCAAGGATGTTAGTGGGTACAGGGCAGTGTAGAGACGGACTTCAAAGGCAGTGGAGACGATTGCTGGAGGCGGGCGGTTGTTGCCAGTGTATTAGTGGGAGAACGTTTGGCCGCATCCCATTCAGTCCTTCCACCAATGACGGCGACAAACGCCCGCCCCCATTCGTCGTGTCCACTGCCTTTAAGCAATCACATGACTCGGTTTGCGGTAATGTAGGATACTGATGGGTAATTGGTGTCTTCAAAGTGTTATGTTTTTGACCAGCTCAATGACGATGGTCCTCTCACATGCTCAAAGAAACCTTGGTTGTCCGGACCCAGTAAGGTGTAGCGACAACGGAAACTCAAGGTAAGTGTGGAGCTGCTTTCATAGTTCTTATAGTGTAGTTCGCTGCGGACGGTGGGGCGTGTCGGGCAGTATGAATGCGCCACAGTGAAAAACTCGTTCTCTGCCAGTTGTTTAAAGACACATGGTACGCTCATACACATTGAGGGTGTATGAGTCCATTCAGCCCCCAGATGTCGATGTGTCGTGGTCCCCCGCCCAAACATGCCCAGGAATGGAGATACAGGGCCGTGAAACACGCTAATTCTTCCATGCTCCGCCCACTGCCTTTTTACGGCGCAGATTCCGCGCCGTTCATAACATCCGTCGTAAGCGCGCCTGTCGCGTGCGGCTCCTTGGCACTTTGCCAAGTCCTTTAATTGCGCTCTCAAATACAAGTAAAACGCAATTTCCTGATGCGGATAACACTGGAGGTGCTGCAAAGTAAAGAACAGAAGATGATGACGAGGGTCAGAACTAAGTCAAGCTGTGGGCCCCTTCTGCAACATTCCTCGGAGGCCACGTACTTCCACGAAACATGAAAATAAAAACGGCATACTTCTTAGTTTAATGCAAGCAAGACGCAACTTCCTGATTCGAATGAAATTTTAGGTATTGCTCATGCTTCAAAAGCCATCAAGGAGATGAAGATGACACAGGCTAGAAATGAAGCACAACGATGTAAATGTAAACAAAACAAAAATGAAAAAATCAAGGAAAGGCAAATTAGATAAACTGGCCTGTAAATTTCTACGATCCGGCGCCAAAGCCATAGAAATACTTAGAACAAACGAGTGGGACGCTTGGGCTGTTTTTATTTTCATGTTTTGTGGTGAATGCGCGGCCCTTGATGGATACTGCAGATGCAGCCGAGTTGCTCTTGAGTTCTGCCCCTTGTCATCATCTTCTGCTCTTATTTTGTAGCACCTCCAATGTTATCCGCATCAGGAAATTGCGTTTTTGTATTTGAGAGCGCAATTAAAGGACTTGGCAAAGTGCCAAGGAGCCGCACGCGACAGGCGCGCTTACGACGGATGTTATGAACGGCGGGAATCTGCGCCGTAAAAAGGCAGTGGGCGGAGCATGGAAGAATTAGCGTGTTTCACGGCCCTGTATCTCCATTCCTGGGCATGTTTGGGCGGGGGACCACGACACATCGACATCTGGGGGGCTGATAGTCTCATACACCCTCAATGTGTATGAGCGTACCATGTGTCTTTAAGCAGTTACACGACAACAATTGTTGGTGAAACGAGTGATACGAACGACATGATACAGTCTTGTCACTTGCTCGCTTCTAACAGCTGGTGGAGAACGGGCTTGGCACCGTGCCAAACTCATCCTGCCTGACACGCCCCATTGTCCGCTGCGAACTACACTATATACGCTGCGCAGAACGATGAAGAAAGTTGAAGTCGAAAGTCGAAGGAAAACAGTAAAACAAAACAAAAATAAAGAATAACAAACAGAACAAAAAAATAACATCGAACAAAAATAGTTATTCTGAGCGTTTTAGCCTTCAGAACTTGACAAGAACCTTACAGCCCGTAGTCTGAATCTGCTAAAAGCGTTATTCCTTCACATTACTAAGTACGGTAGAACCCTTATCAGTTTTTAGTAAGCTTCTGTTGTAAAGCTGAAAATAGTCAAAAGGTTATCCCTTGGCAAAGGAATATTTTTTGGAGATTTTAGAGCGATAGTAACAGTTACGGTAAAGCCTGAGAATAGCACTTTCAAAAAAAAGTTACATTGAATGTGATTTGTGCGCGGAACCTTGGTTTTCTTAGGCAATTATGCTTGGGGTTAATAAATATAGACGGCATCTGTTGGTTCAGAGCCGACAGGTATGTAAATTCATCAATGTAGGCGATTTATTTCGAATTTTTGCCGGCATTTTTGGTGGAGGCCCGAGGTGAGCTGAAGTTGGATAATTCAGCGAATATTTCTATACTGTTTAGTTTGGTATCAAAACTTTTCGAGTTATTAGTAACACTGAGGTTGTGGTCAATCAAATATCCCTGTTTGTTAGAATAGTTGAAGAGCAATAGGAATCCGAGGGTGCATGCAGGAAACGAAGAGATGTAGTTTTGTACGTTTGAACAGGACCTTAAACTTCAGATATGGATCGCCCAACCAAGTTCCCGTCAGTTATGTTGAATTTGCGAAAGCATTTCTTGACCAAATGGTCAAGCCCTGCTCTTGAAGTCATCATGATGCTTCTGAATGCTCAGCGTAACAATATATACGTTTCAGACAGGGTGAGTGCTATTACACTTTTTTGCAACACAAGTATTTTTAGTGAGACGTAGAACATAATTGGGTTTGTCTTTCGAACAGGTTTTGATGTCCCAAAGTTCCATTGAAAGTGTAGTCTTGTCCGCTGACGATGAAGGGGCGTGTCAGTGAGGCTGGGTTTGGCGTGCCGCCAGCCCGTTCTCCACCACTGTCCAAGCATTCAAACGGTCGAAGCAGTTAAGCGACAACAACTGGTGGGAAATGACTGGTACGAAGCTGATATGATACAGTCCTGTCGCTTGCCGAAAGAAAAAAAAGGAAAAGCGGGCTGGCGTTAGCCTAAATCATCTCCCAGAAGAGCAGGACCTGGACTTGTTAGCAGGTAATAGGTCTACGTAACACCAGCTGAGCACCTTAATGAGACGACGTGTCACATCACATGGTGATGACGGGAAAGTCATTAAAGGCAGTTGGCACGATAAATCCCCCAAGACGAGTAGGATTAATACGCCTGGCAGGACGGAATTCCGCGACCCTGAGCAGGCGCTGCCTTTTCCAAGGAAGGTGCCCTTATAAGGGCCCTATCAAGCCACAACATTCCGACCCAAACGCCCGCCACGCCCGCCCGCCCACAAATGGACGACCGTTCCTGACGCTCTAATCGATTCATTTGCTAAGCAAATTATGAAGCGAAGGGATTGGTATGAAGCGGCCGTGATGCTGCATGGATATATGAGTACACATATGCAGCCGTACCTTCGGTAGCGGTTATTGGCAAGATGCCTACGGGAAACTCGTCCAAAATTGATTACTAACACAGTGAGAACGGAGGCTCTTTTTTCGCAGGATTTTGACCGTTTCACTCCGTTCTTTCGCCATTTCCCCACTATATAGCGCCCTACTAGCATTTTAGGCCGAGCACCAAATCATCGTGCCAACTGCCTTTAAGTTTAATATTACGTCATCTATCGCTCAACTGGTAACTTTTTCGTTAAAGGTTCTACATCATGCCCTCTCGTTTACGCAAACTGCTGTGGCCCATTCGTATTGCTGGAGAATTGTGAAGCCTCATGCGATTGTAAGAATTTTTCCTGTTTTTTAATTTGAAAACTCAGAGATATTGACGGACGCAGCTCATGAAATTAGATTGCCCACAGCAGTTGTATTTCAGGATTTGATCAGAAATGTGCTGTTTCCTTTGATGTGCTACAACGATGAGGATGAGGAGATGTGGGAAGATAATGTTGAAGAATATATTAGATTCAAATTTGGTAAGGCAACATTCATCCGGGTTAAATACATTACATACTTTATCCAAAGTTAAAAATCTAATCAATAATTTTGCTGGCA